GTTATATATTTTGTGGTTTGCACGGAATGTTCTTGGAACATGTCTGGCGGAGTCTGTCTTGTCTTAGCAAATCGGGTTTTATGTACTAAGAGAACCCTGTTTATGTTCTGAGAACATTTGTGGGTTCCAAGAACGTGTCGTGGTAAGACTATAGGAATGCCGGGAGGGTCGGTCTCTGTTCAACAATACTGAATATACCTTTCCTTCGTTCTCCACTTTTGGGGCCTCCTTGGGGGGCCCCCGCAGCCACCGTGGGATTCGCCGCGAGATCCTGGTCAGAACGCACCCCGGGAGAGGTCTGGGGAGTGGCGGTATTGGTACTTTGGGGGGCCCAGCCGGGAGGCTGCGGGTCAGCACGTCGAACCGACTTGGGCGACCCTGACCCCTCCGCGCTATACATAGTACCACGACGGGAGGCTTTTCTCGCTAGTTTTGGCCTCTGGGGGCCCCTGCCAGGACTCGGGACCGTCAAACAACGACTCGGGCGGAGAGCCTGGTCCCCGGGAAGGGGTCGGGACCTCTGGGCGTCGACGCTGTGCACAGGCCACGCCGTGTCGGGGGTCTGAGGAGCTGGCCCCGGAGGCGCGCCGCGGTGCACCCACAGCGGGAGCCCCGGCCGAAGCTGAAGTGCACGGGAGCATGGAGAGGGCCCACCCTGCAGGAATGGTGAATGGCACCTTTGTGGGCCCCGGAAACGGCAGGGCCGTTTTTTCACCGTTTCCTAAAAATGTCCCTCGAAAACGGAAACGGCAAAAAAACGGCGACCGGAAACAGCAAAAAAACGGCCCTGTCGTTTCCAGGGCCCTCTAAGAATTGCACCTCTGGGCGGTGCTGCAGCCCTGCCTGAGCACAGCCCCCCGAGCAGTGGCCGAGCAGGGGAGCGGCTGCAGAATCGATCTGCCCGGCAGGTGTCGTGTCTCGTCGGGCCTGCGGGAAGAAAGCGCGCAGACCCCCCCCCGCAGATCTACGGAGCAGTCTACGTAGTTGTTTGTTGATCCGACCGAGAGCAGCAGTCGAGGTGGCTCAGTTCTTTGCAGCCACGTCGTTGGAATCAGGAACAGTTGGGGTAAGACAGGGGCTCGACATTCCTTAGGCCCTTCTACGGCTTTTCCTCTAGCCTTTCCTCGTGCACGCAGGCGCCTGCGGGGCCAAAAAGGGGCTCCGTTCCTTGTTTATCGTTCCTTCTTTCAGCAGCCCGACTACAGTCGACCTCCTACTCGAAGAGGCGCACGCCGAACGGCCCCCCCTCACTGTACAGTCGGGTCGCTGAAGAAGGAACCCTTTTCGTTGGGGAGGGGCTCCGTGTTCCTTAATTGTTTCACAGCTTGTCTCAGGTTGTCCTGATGTTCTCGATGGGAAATCGAAGATCAACTTATGGAGAAAAGGGGCCTCGTTCCTTATTTAGGGTTCCTTAGGTCAACGCCCCGACTGTAGTCTCCCAGCACGTCCCTGGCCAGCAGTCACGGGCCCGGAGTGCAAGCCTGCACCGGATGGGCCCCGAAGGGCTCCGGGGACCGATTTTGTGAGCGGATTTCCCTCCGTCCCCCCCTTTCCCAGGCTCGTTTTCACGCCTCCGATTCGATTCGATTCGATTTCGATGGCCCCCGATTCTGGTTCGAGTCGGCTGCAGATGCCGATGAGGCCTACTACCCTGCCGATGTCCGCCGAGTCGACTTTTTCACCTCGGCTGCCGATTTCCGCTGATCCGTTTTTTTCCTAACCCTCTTTGGTTGGGTATTCGTTTTGAATATAGAGCACTGCGGTCGCATCTTCTCCTCCTCCTCCTTCCGCCTCCCGCCTTGGGCGTACCTCTTGTGTGTGCATCTTGCCTGCGGTACCTCTTGTGTGTGCATCTTGCCTGGGGTCTGCGATCTGCGGAACTGTCGCCACTTTCGAGGGCTGGCGGGGACAGCATGGTTGGTAGCCGCCCCATATCCAAATTAGGCCTCGCCTTCCCTGGGGGGGCTGCGATTTGCGAAACCGTCGCCACTTTCGAGCGCTGCTTGGAGGGGCAGCACAGTGGGTAGCCGCCGCAGATCCAAACTAGACCTCGCCATCATGGGGGGCTGCGATTTGCGAAACCGTCGCCACTTTCGAAGGCTGCTTGGGGGGCCATCATAGTGGGTAGCCGCCGCAGATCCAAAGTAGACCTCGCCATCCCTGGGGGGCTGCGATCTGCGAAACCATCTCCGCTTTCGAGGGCTGCTTGGGGGGCCAGCATAGCTGGTAGCCGCCGCATGTTCAAACTAGAACTCGCCATCCCTGGAGGGCTGTGATTTGCGAAACCGTCGCCACGTTCGAGGGCTGCTCGGGGAGTCCAGCACAGTGGGTAGTCGCCGCGGGTCCAAAGTAGACCTTGTCATCATTGGGGGGCTGCGATTTGCGAAACTGCCGCCGCTTTCGAGGGCTGCTTTGGGGGCCAGCATAGTGGGTAGCCGCCGCAGTCCCAAGTAGACCTCGCCATCCCTGGGGGGGCTGCGATCTGCGAAACCGTCGCCACGTTCGAGGTCTGCTTGGAGGGGCCATCACAGTGGGTAGCCGCCGCAGATCCAAAGTAGAACTCGCCATGCCTGGAGGTTTCGAGGGCTGCTTGGGGGGGCCAGCTGAGAAACTGTCGCCATGTTCGAGGGCTGCCTGGGAGGGCCAGCTGTAGTGGGTAGCCGCCGCATATCCAACTTAGACATCGTCATCCCTGGGGGGCTGCGATTTGCTAAACTGTCGCTTCTTTCGAGGGCTGCTTGGGGGGGCAGTATAGCGATCTGCGAACCTGTCGCCACTTTCGAGGGCTGCTGGTGGGTCCAGCGGAGTGGGGCACCGCGCAGCTCTGAGCGAGACTTCACCGTCCCTGGGGGGCTGCGATCTGCGAAACCGTCGCCACTTTCAAGGGCCGCTGGCGGGTCCAGCGGAATGAGGCACCGCGCAGATCTGAGCGGGACTCGCCATCCCCGGGGGGAATGCGATCTGCGAAACCGTCGCTACTTTCGAATGCTGGTGGCGGGTCCAGCGGAGTGAGGCACCACGCAGATCTGAGCGGGGCCTCGCAATCCCTTGGGGCTGCGAGCCTCACGCATGCCGCTCGCAGAAGTACATGCGCCCTTGCCACGCCATCACCTCCGTATGACGTCTCCCAAGCTACTCATGCCCCGCATTGCGCATAGTTTGGGTACGTCGCCAGGGTAATGTTCGACTGCCGATCCGTCTTGCCGATCCGATTTTGGGCGTTCTTGCCCTTCGAGGTACGAAGGCCATCAGCGGCTCCTGTTCCTTTTTGTACGGGGCTCGCTGTCGGCGTCGCTGCGGAAACCTGACAATTTGAGACGCAGAGTCGCCTGCCCAACAGCGGCCGCTGCCGCCTTGAGACATTCTTCGCTGTTGGGCATCGCACTCATTTTTCCGTACGGGGGTTGAACGTTCGGGTTCATTCTGGTTTTGCTTGGAGCAATCTGGGTCTGAAGCGGAAAACCACAAACATTGTCTTGGCGAGGTGACCAGCTATATGAAATTGTGAGTAACGCAGCTGTGAAGCACGTCACGTCTTCGGTGGAGCTCCTTAGGAGGGTACGAGACGTGTGAGAGGTGTGCCGAAATGGGTCAGGCGGGGGCATTTGGACCCTCCGACTGGGGCCTTGGGTGGAGCTCCCTATGAGTCCACGAAGCGTATGATGGGTGACGGGTGTGCCGAAATGGGTCAGGCGGACGCATGTGGACTTTCCCACCAGGGCCTTCAGCAGAACTCCCTATGGGGTCACGAAGCGTGCGAAAGGTGTGCCGAAATGGGTTGGGCGGTCGCATGTGGACCCTCCAATTGGGGCCTTCGGTGGAGCTCGCTATGCGGCCACGCACCGTATGAGGGGTGCGCGAATCCGGGCGGTGCCGCGATTCGAATTTTGCCACTGAGGCCTTCGGTGGAGCTCCCTATGGCGCCACGAAGCGTGTGAGTGGTGCGCTGACATGAGGCGGCGCCACAATGCAAACTTTGCCAGTGATGCCTTCGGTGGATCTCCCCCTACGGGGCCACGAACCGTGTCAGGGGTGCCAAAATGTGGGGGCGTCGCCAGGCGAACTTTGCTGTGTAGGCCTTCGATGGCTCCGTATGGGGCCACGAAACGTGTGAGGGGTGCGCTGTGATGCGGCGGCGCCGCCATGCGAACTTCGCTTCTGTGGCCTTCGGCTCAGCTCCCCATGGGGCCACGGACCGTGTGAGGGGGAGGAGGAGGAGCAGGAGGGAGGAGGAGGAGGAGGAGGAGGAGGAGGGAGGAGGAGGAGGAGGAGGAGGAGGAGGAGGGGTGTGCCGACACAGAGGCATATGCGGCCGGGCGGCGGGCCGTGGCTAGGGGAAGCAGCAGCAGAGGGGAGGGAGGGGAGGAGGAGGGAGGCGAGGAGAGGAGGAGGAGGGGGGGAGGAGGCGAGTGAGTCGGGGGCGGAAAAGAGGGGGGTGATGACTAGGGGGGGGGTGGATATCATGGCGTCGGCCATGAGATTTCCCTAGATTTCATGGCGCCTCTTCTTATTTCCTTACGTCCCTGGCCCCCCCGCTGGGCCGCGCACATGCCGCCGGTCATGATTTGCACCCCCCCCTCTTGGACACCCCCCTCTTGGCCGCTCCCGAGTGAGGAGGAAGGCGAGGAGGAGGAGGAGGAGGGAAGAGAGGAAGGCGAGGAGAAGGAGGGAGAGGACGGGGGAGGAGGAGTGACGCGGGGCGCTCTGTCCTCGAGGCGAGGACCCAACACCACAGGATGTCCGGAGCACACCACCGGGGGAGGGGGAGCGGAGACCCGCCGCGGAGCCCTTCCGAGAGCGAGCGTCGGGGCAGAGCGGCCGCCTCCGGCGCCTGATCCGTCACCTGGGCCGCTTCGGAGGCCGCGCTTCCGAGGCCGCGCCCGCTGGGGCCGTGTGGATCGGCAGGCGGAGGAGGAGGCGGAGGAGGCGGAGGAGGCGGAGGCGGAGGAGGCGGAGGAGGCGGAGGAGGCGGAGGAGGAGGCGGAGGAGGCGGAGGAGGAGGAGGAGGAGGCGGAGGAGGAGGAGACGGAGGAGGCGGCGGAGGAGGCGGAGGAGGCCGCGCCCGCCAGGGCCGTGTGAAGCGGCAGAAGAGGCCGCCACGGTGACCGAGTCAGGGCGTCCTGGCCCCGGGAGCCTTGCTCTCTGCATCGCTTGTCGCACCGTCGGACCGTTTGTCGCACCGTTTCGGGACCCCGGGACCATAACAGAGCGATCGGGTTCTTAATATGCAGCAGGACGATTGGGTCTGGGGCTCCGAACGTGATTTTGGCGATGCTGCAGTTTTCCCAATATCGGATGTGTGGGGTTCTGGTTATGATTGGGACGCCTCCACTTCCTCACTCTTTCCCGCCCCCTTTGTCCGATTCATTACACTCAGACCATTCATAATATTCAGACTCGCTCGCCCTTACATACATCCGCACTCGGCCCCGCTGACACTCGGACACTCCTATTCAGACTCACTCGCAGTTTCAGATTCACTGATACTCTCACTCTTCACTCAGACTCGCACATCATTTGACTCACTCAAGTCGGATCCAGGCTCATACGCACATCACTCATACAGTCAGAGCCCCGTATCCTTATCGCGATGTAACAGGCGCGGTGTTTGAGCACCCCATTTGGGAGCAACCAGGGGTGGTGGACATCTTGCCCGTTCGTGTCCCGATTATGAGGATGTCTCGGGCGGTCTGCATGCGTGATGGATTGGACGTCGTTTTTTCGGAACCCCATCCTCGTCTCGATGTAGTTCGCGTGCAGTTTAAGCACCTCAAAGGGGAGCCGCCAGGGGGTCGGTTTGTTGTTGATTGGATGTCTCTGTCCGGAGCCCCAGTTCCATCGCGATGTAGCAGGCGCACAATTTGAGCACCCCAAAGGGGAGCCGCCAGGGGGTCCGTTTGCTGTTGATTGGGCTTCTCTCTCTGGAGTCCCATCTCCGTCGCGATGTAGCAGGTGTGCAGTTTTAACGTTTTGACCGCTCCCAAGGGGGAGCCAACACTGGTGGGGACACTTGTCCGTTCGCGCCCAGATTGGGGAGTGTCTCGGGCGGCTTGCTCCTCCTCCTCCTCCTCCTCCTCCTCCCTCCTCCCTCCTCCCTCCTCCCTCTTCGTTTTGTGGACTGGGCTTTTTTTGTCAGCGGGCCATGCTTACCCCGATGTGGCAGGCGTGGCATTTGGGCGCCCTAGGGAGGAGCCGCTGGGTGCGGGGGCATGTGCCCGCTCGCGCCAAGATCGTGGGGATGTCGAAGGTTAAGTCGGGCCTGTCCCCCTACAAGGGGATTTTCGACGAAGAATGAAAAATACCCAAAACATGTTGAAAAGCTAGTCCAGACATTGTCGGGAAACTATTTTTTGAGTATTGTTTTACCTTTTTGGTGTATTTTGGGGATATCGTCGAAAATCCCCCTGCAGGGGGACACGCCCGACATAAGTCTAAGGCGGTTTGCCTGTTTGGTTGGTTGGTCGCCTTTCTTCCCAGGGCCCCCAGTTCTCATCGCGATGTAGGTGGAATGGATCGTGGGCACCCCAAGGAGGGGCAGCCAGGGATGAGGAGGCTCGCCCGTTCGCGCCCAGGTTGTGGGGACGGCTCAGGCGGTGCTTGTTTGGTGGCTTTGGGCTCCGGTGCTTCCAAAACAGATTGCGATGATCTCTCGAGCTAGGCGTTGGTTTCAGCGCCCCAGGCGGCCAGATCGTGGGGATGCATCGAGCGAAGTGCTCGGTTTTGCACCTTCGAGACTCCTGCCCATGAAGAGCCCCATGTTCACCCCGACGTCGGGAGAAGTCGGATGAGGGATGAAGGAGGAGAAGGAGGAGGAGGAAGGAGGAGGACGCAGGAGGATGGAGAGGGGATGAGGGGGGAAATTAATTAAGGAGGTACGGCGAGTAGTAATAGGAATCAGAGGCTCTGTGAGTTGTCGTCGCCGCCGTCCCTCACCGTAGCCGCCGCCGTCGTTGTCGTCGTCTTCGTCGTCGTCGTACCCGTCGTCCACTAGGACTAGCTTCCACACCCAAAGACTCACGGCCGCACACTCCCAGCGAGACGTGCCAGGAAGTGGGATGCACATGTGGGGACTGTCGTGTCGAGCAACTCTGCATCGCCGGATCCCAGGCTTCGAGGCTTCCGGGAGCTCTCGCAGGATCTCGGTGGTTTTGCAGCTCAGGGGTGCCCTCCAGCAGCTGCGCCTCGCCGAGAGCGTTCTCCCGGGGTGCCCGGCTCGTCCCGAACGTTGGGCGTTGCGTAATGGGGGGGTCATAAATGGGGGGGTGGCGAGAGTGGTCCGAAAAGGTACCCAAACGGTACCTAAACGAGCCCCCTGGGGCTCTGGAGGGGCCCGAAAGGGGCACGAAAGGGGACCTTTTCTGACCCCCCCATTTATGACCCCCCCATTAAGCCACGCCCAACGAACGGCCGATTGGGACCCAGAAGCCCAGGCCCCCCTCGCGCGGCAGCAGAGAGCTCGCAGCGATCGGCCTCGGGCCGTCCTCGGCCCTCCCGGGGCCCTATCGCCGTGCCCGGGGGGTGCGAGCGGCAGCAAGTCTCGGGGCTCGAGAGACGGGGGCCCATGCAAGCGAGGGTCAGCGAGAGCGCCAGATCCTGCAGGATCCTGCAGGGCCAGGGCTGACGAGCCAGTTTTCCACCACCACTACCATAGGGAGGAGGAGTAGGAGGAGGAGAAGAAGGAGGAGGGAAGGGACGAGGAGCCCTTTCCCCCCGTCCTACCTATGGTAGTGGTGGTGGAAGATTGGCCCATTAAGGGCTGCCCCGGCCTGGGCCGGGGCGCAGCATCCTACAGGGAGCTGCAGGATGCTGCAGGGCTCTGCAGGATCCTGCAGTGCTCGGGGGTGGACAGAACCCCCAACAGTGACACGTCGATTAGTGAATTGTCCGTTTTCGGTTCTCGAGAGGGCGCCGTGGCCGTTATTTTCCAGGCTTGCGCCCGCCAGGTTTGGGCCTCAGGTCGTTTTCACTAAACCACGTTTTACTAAAGGGGGTTCTGTCCATCCCCGAAGTGCCCGAGCGACCAGGGTCTGGATTGACCTGGGTCAGTAGGTCCCCGAAGCTCGAGATGAAATTCAAGTCTCGGGGGATGGGTCTATAGACCGCTGGGGGTCCACGCTGTGAGCAAGATAGCGCCGTCGGAGATCTGGGGAGATGGGGCTTCCAAGGACAGACAGGGGCTTCTGAGGCTGAGATTGCTTTGTTCCAGGGCTCCTCGTCCTATGCCAGAGGACCATGAGGGCGTGATGATGACAGGTTCCAGGGTGTCCCGAATTTGCCGGATCTCTTAGATTCCTGGACGTTGCGCACGGCCTCCAGAAGCGAGGGCCGCTGGAATTCCTGGAACGTGCCTATCCTGAGCCAACTCTCATCACAACATCAGTCTTGACATATCCTGACCCTGAAGCTGCACCATTCGAGGCCCTCTGGCCCCCGTGTTTCGGGCTCCCATCCCTGACGTGCCAGAGGCTGGGCGAAGGCATCGACTGGAACATCCCCGGCAGCGGTGTCAGCATCCACGACGAGGTGGACCCAGGCTCGCCCTGGGGCAGTTTTTCGGAAACTGGAACATATTATACATTACCGACGGCGGGCCGTTTTTTTCAACCCCAGGGCTTTCTTGAGGGTCGGGGACGACGTCGGGGTGGGGTGGTGTATCCTTTTTTTTGTTTCCCAGGGAATGAACGGCACATGTATACACCAGGGTCCCGTATACACCAGGGAGCCGCGTTTTTGTGCAAACTTCAGTACAGGGCCGGAACACGCGTCGGCGTATAGAGTCTGGTTTCCTCGTACTCCGAATGCGAACCGAAGAGGCCATCACTTCACATGTTCGGGCCTCTCTGCGAGGCTTCCGGCCGCCACGGCTGGATTCCAGTTGACTTTCGGGCCATGACGCACCCCCAGAGAGATGTCGTGGCTTGGCATCGCTCGGACGTGTGCATTTTTCCTTCGGCGAGGACCATCGAGGAGCATCCTTGATCATTTGGCGAAACAAAAAAACCACGCACGAAACCGACAAAAACACAGGGAATGGACGGCCGAGCGATGGCCAGGTGGGGGCGACCTGTGAGGGGGAGGCGTGGGATCGCCATGAGGGGAAGCCGTCCTCGGGCTCCTCGGGGCTCCTGGGACTGTCAAAGGACCGCTCGGGATGATGAGCTGGACCCGGGGACGCCCCGATATCCAGGACCTGTTTCCATCAGGACGCCCTGCCCTCGAAGAAGTAAAAACGACATAAACATACACTTTTGGCGCTCCGCGCGGATTTCTTGGATCCGGGCAGGGCTCCCCCGTCGGCGCCTCTGGCGCCGCCCCTGGCGCGCTCCGCGCGCCAGGGAGGGGGGTCCGGCGCGGACCCAAGAAATGCGCGCGGACCGCCAAATGCTTATGTTTGTGTTTTTTTTCCTCGATGCCCGCATGCCAACAGGGCATCACCATGGTGACCATGACGGCGACCACGAGGTTACCACCACGCCCGATGTGGGTTGCCTGTCTCTGTGCACGAGCACCCAGAACGCGAGTCTCGCCCAATGCACATCTACACAGGCATCCTGCACTTTGGCGTGTGCTGCGTTGACTGACCCAAGGCCGTTGCAGCTCACCGAGTGCAACAACAGGTGCACCAGGAGTTTCACCGATTGCCAGAAAGAGTGCTACAAGGAGCTCGGAACGTGTAACAAGGCGTGCAGGGAGAAGTAACGACGTTTTATTCTGAGTCTGCCAGGCTGTCTCATGGGAACTTGATCTACAGTTCCTAAGTAGAGCATCTCAGTCTGGTGCTTCGTACCTGCATCCTACAGTAGGGCAACTGAGGATGCGCTGTACAGCTCCCCCGCGGTTACTCTGTTCTTCGATCAAACATGCTTCATTATGAATACTTGGGGAGGTGCGGTGCTCATTCTCCGTTCTGTCTTTCCCACTCCGTTCGAATTAGGAGGGCCACATTTCGACAGAAGTTCGGACGGCCAAGGGATTGGTGGTTTCATGCTGCACTCGCCTCCCGTCTCTGAAATGTCGCACTTCGGTTTGCCAGTCGTTGCGTGGCTCTGAGACGCAGCGTTGAGCTTTGAGCTTTTGGCTATGCTCAGAAGACTTTCAGCTGGCCATGGAAACCAGTGATTTGTCCCACGCGGGCGCCGTACACTTACAGGCAGTTATGGTGCTGGCTCGCACGTATAAGACGGCGTGGCGAAAATGTCAAACATATGCATGACCCAGCCTTTTGCATGTCATCTGGGTGTCAGGGGCATCAGAGGTCCAGTCTTTGTAAGCCCTGGGCCAGCTGGAATGAGTCGAGGCATCCACAGCGAATGGACCTTGAGAAACCAGATCGCAGACAAGATAAACAAGAAGGCTCAGACCTCACACACACAGACACACATACACACACACATGCATACGCACAAGCACACGCACACGTACACGCACACACACACGAACATACGCTCACACACACGCACACACGCACTCACACACATACACACACACACACACACGCACAGTAATATTTATAGTTACGGCTTGCGGCAAGCGGTCAGAAAACAAATAAACCATTCTAGTGGCAAGCGGTAAGCGGTAAGCGTTCGGCCTCAGCCTGTTGTATTTACGATTACGGCTTACGGTAAGCGGCAAGCGTCGCCCCAGCCCCCGTCCCCCCAGGAGGTCCCCAGGAGGCCCCCAGGGGGCTCCAAGGGGGGAGGGGAAGGGGGGGGGGCGGGGCGGGAGGGCCGCAGGGTCCGCAAAGCGTCGAGGGCACCGACAATCCAAAGGGCGCCATATCACCGATCGATTTTCTTGGCAAAGTCGGGAAACGGTTCTTCCAACATCGAGCGGTTTGGGCGCCGAGACACCCTCACCCCTTCCCCCTCCCCCCTTCCCAGGAAGCCCCAGCAAGCCCCAGATGGCCCCAGGAAGCTACAGGAGGCTACATAACGCCCCAAGAGGCTCCAGGAGGCCCTCAGGAAGCCCCAGGAGGGGCCCCAGGGCCCACAAAGCGTCGCGGGCACCGAAAGCCCAAGCTGTGCCATATGTAACACCGGCCGATTTGGGCAAAAGCGGGGACCCGTTCTTCCAAAATCGAGCGGTGTTATGGCATGAGTCCCTGGAGGCCCCAGCAAGCCCCAGATGGCCGCAGGAAACTACAGCAGGCTACATAACGCCCCAGGAGGCTCCAGGAGGCCCCCCAGGAAGCCCCAGGAGGGGCCCCAGGGTCTACAAAGCGTCGCGGGCACCGAAAGCCAAAGTTGTGCCATAACACCAGCCGATTTGCGGGCCGTCGCGTCGCGGGCCGTCGAGCGAGCGGGCTCCCTCTTGCGGGTTCCGCTGACGGCCCAGGGGCCTCATGACCTATCTTACGGCAGAGCCCTTCTCCGCGCCTCCTCCTTCTCCTCCGGTCCACACACGCGGTCCACACGCACGGTCCACACACACGGTCCACACACACGGTCAACACACACGGTCCGCACACACGGTCCACACACACGGTCCACACACACAGTCCACATACACAGTCCACACACACAGTCCACACAGTCCACACACACACACACGGTCCACACACAGTCCACACACAGTCCACACACAGTCCACACAAACACGGTCCACACATACAGTCCACACACACGGTCCACACACACGGTCCACACAGTCCACACATACAGTCCCCACACACACACAGTCCACACACACAGTCCACACACACACGCAGTCCACACACACACACAGTCCACACACAGTCCACACACAGTCCACACACACGGTCCACACACACGGTCCACACACACGGTCCACACACACGGTCCACGCACACACACACGGTCCACACACACGGTCCACACACACGGTCCACACACACGGTCCACACTCCACACGGTCCACACACACGGTCCACACACAGGTCCACACACACACACACACACACGGTCCACACACGGTCCACACACACGTCCACACACACGGTCCACACAGTCCACACATACAGTCCACACACACACACAGTCCACACACACACAGTCCACACACAGTCCACACACAGTCCACACACACGTCCACACACAGTCCACACACAAGGTCCACACACACACACACAAAGTCCATACACACACAGTCCACACACAGTCCACACACAGTCCACACACAGTCCACACACACGGTCCACACACACAGTCCACACACACACGGTCCACACACACGGTCCACACACTCGGTCCACACGCGGTCCACACACACGGTCCTCCACACACACGGTCCACACACACGGTCCACACACACGGTCCACACACACGGTCCAACACACACACACGGTCCACACACACACGGTCCACACACACGGTCCACACACACGGTCCACACACGGTCCACACGGTCCACACACACACGGTCCACACACACGGTCCACACACACGGTCCACACACACACACACACGGTCCACACACACGGTCCACACACGGTCCACACACACACGGTCCACACACACGCATGGTCCACACAGACGGTCCACACACACGGTCCACACACACGGTCCCACACACGGTCCACACACACGTTCCACACACACGGTCACACACACGGGTCCACACACACACGTCCCACACCACACGATCCACACACACGGTCCACACACAGTCCCTACACACGGTCCACACACACGGTCCACACACACGGTCCACACACACGGTCCACACACACACACGGTCCACACACAAGGTCCACACACACCGTCCACACACAGTCCACACACACAGTCCACACACACAGTCCACACACAAGGTCCACACACACACGGTCCACTCACACGGTCCACACACACGGTCCACACACACACGGTCAACACACACGGTCCACACACACACGGTCCACACACACACACGGTCCACACACACACACGGTCCCACACACACGGTCCACACACACGGTCCACACACACACACACACACGGTCCACACACTCCACGGTCCACACACACACACACGGTCCACACACACGGTCCACACACGCCGGTCCACACGGGTCCACACACACACACGGTCACACACACACACGGTCCACACACACACGGTCCACACGCACGCGGTTCACACACACGGTCCACACAGACGGTCCACATTCACGGTCCACACACACAGTCCACACACACAGTTTCCACACGCAGGGTCCACACACGGTCCACACACACGGTCCACACACACGGTCCACACACACACGGGTCCACACACACGGTCCACACACACGGTCCACACACACGGTCCACACACACGGTCCACACGTCCACACACACGGTCCACGCACACGGTCCACACACACACGGTCCACCACACACACGGTCCACACACACGGGTCCACACACACACGGTCCACACACACGGTCCACACACACGGTCCACACACACACACACACGGTCCACACACACGGTCCACACACGGTCCATACCTTTTCCTCCTTCTCCTCCTCCTCCTCCTCCTCCTCCCTCTCCTCTTCCTCCTCCTCCTCCTCCTCCTCCTCCTCCTCGTCATCCTCCTCCTCCTCCTCCCCATCATCCTCCTCCTCCTTTTTCTCCTCCGCCCCCCGTGGCCGGGCAGCGGCGGGCCCGCGCCTGCGCGGCGAGCGCGACGGGGGCGGCGAAGGCGTCGATGATGCTGACCCTTCGCCGAACCTGTGAGCCCCGCGCCTCGGCCCCCCTTACTCTTGCGCGCCCCGTCCGCGACGACGACGACGACGACGACGACGACGACCCAGACAGGGTCCACAAAGCCCTCCGTGACGACGACGACGACGACGACGACCGTGACCAAGTCCCGGAACGCAGAGCCTGCATCCGCCCCAGCGGAGGGTTCCTCCCTCGACCCTCCTCTCCCTCTTCCTTACCCTGTTCCTCCTCCCCCTCCCCCTCCTCCTCCTCCTCCTACTCCTACTCCTACTCCTCTTCCTCCCCCTCCTCCTGCTCTTCCTTGGGCTTTCGGTGCCCGCGACGCTGTGTGAACCCTGGGGCGCATCCTGGGGCTTCCTGGGGGCTTCCTGGGGCGTCCTGGGACGTTTTGGAGCCTCCTGTAGCTTCCTGGGGCCACCTGGGGCTTGCTGGGGCCTCCAGGGGCTCGGTGCCATAACACCGCTCGATTTTGGAAGAACGGGTCCCCGCTTGTGCCCAAATCGGCCGGTGTTATGGCGCCGTTTGGGCTGTCGGTGCCCGCGACGTTTTCTGGACCTTGGGGGCCCTCCTGGGGCTTCCTGGGGGCCTCCTGGGGCGTCCTGGGGCGTTTTGGGGCCTCCTGGTGGCTTCCTGGGTGCCACCTTGGGCTTGCCGAGGCCTCCAGGGGCTCGGCCCTATGACAACGTTCGATGTTGGAAGAACGGGTCCCCGCTTTTGCCCAAATCGGCCGGTGTTATGGCGCCGTTTGGGCTGTCGGTGCCCGCGACGCTTTGTGGACCCTGGGGCCCCTCCTGGGGCTTCCTTCCTGGAGCCTCCTGGGGCGTCCTGGGGCGTTTTGGGGCCTCCTGTAGCTTCATGGGGCCACCTGGGGCTTGCTGGGGCCTCCAGGGGCTCGGTGCCATAACACCGCTCGATTTTGGAAGAACGGGTCCCCGCTTGTGCCCAAATCGGCCGGTGTTATGGCGCCGCTTGGGCTTTCGGTGCCCGCGACGCCTTGTGGACCCTGGGGCGCATCCTGGGGCTTCATGGGGGCCTCCTGGAGCCTCCTGGGGCGTTTTGGAGCTTCCTGTAGCTTCCTGGGGCCACCTGGGGCTCGCTGGGGCCTCCAGGGGCTCGGTGCCATAACACCGCTCGATTTTGGAAGAACTTGTCGCAGATTTTGCCAAAGATCGGCCGATGTTATGGCGCCACTTGAGCGTTCTGTGCCCGCGACGCTTTGTGGACCCAGGTGGTGGTGGTGGTGGTGGTTGTGGTTGTGTGTGTGTGTGTGGGTGTGGGTGTGGGTGTGGGTGTGTGGTTGGGTGGGTGGGTGGTGGGTGGTGTGGGTGTGGGTGTGGGTGTGGGTGTGGGCGTGGGCGTGGGTGGGCGTGGGCGTGGGCGTGGGGGTGTGGGGGGGGGGTGGGGGTGGGGGTGGGGGTGGGGGTGGGGGTGGGGGGGGGGTGGTGGGTTGTGGGTGTGGTGTGGGTGTGTGGTGGGGTGTGGGTGGGGTGGGGGGTGGGGGTGTGGGTGGGGGTGTGGGTGTGGGGGTGGGGGTGGGGGTGGGTGGGGGGGTGGGGTGGGGGTGGGGGGGGTGGGGTGGGGTGGGGTGGGTGGTGGGTGGGTGGGTGGGTGGGGTGTGCGTGTGGTGGGTGGGTGGGGGGGGGGGAGGGGGGGGGGAGGGGGAGCTCCGCGCCATAACGCCGCTCGATGTTGGAAGAACGGGT